GAACATCATAAATTGTTTCAATTAAGCGGCAGGCTAGCAAGATTATTATTTTGTATTCCTTGATACTTCGTAGTCCCCCATTTCATGTCATTCAATTGCAAATTACTGAATACACAATTCTCACACAAAGAAAAAGAAACTATCCAATCAGTTTGATCTGATTTGACGACGTTACTCTTTCCTGATTGGCTGACACCTCCGCTATTATTCTTTCTCTATATATTTGTGATACCACCCGGATGGTTGGGCGGATCCGTAAACCACTGCACAGTAAACCTCTCAATACTTCATCCATATTCAATCAACCAGTCCGTTACAAATCCCAATAGTGAACCCTTGAATTCCAATGAAGCCTTCTCCCAGCCTGGCGAGTCGTCATTCGATTACCCTCGTTAACTCAGGGCTGCTGAATGTGATTATAAACAAATAAAGCTATTCATCTGTTATATTGTACTGTCAGTTGAATACCAGGTGTCATCGATCGTAGCAATTTGTGAGAAGTAAACTAGTTTAACCTTGTCAGACAGCTAAGCTAATGAGCTAGAGCGTAAAGCACTCAAAAAGGAAATCGCTAAGGCAGTTAATACATTGTACTTTATGAAACTAAAAATGTATCACACGGATGGACTTAAAGCGTGGTACTTACAGTCTAAATCTTTTCGCATCTCTACATGATAGGCAGTGAGGGACATTCAACGTAGAGTTTCTTGGTTCAAACTATTGCTGCACTCAAGAATAACAATCGAAATCAATAGCGAAGTGCATCCTTCATAAATCAGAAAACAGTCACACTCAACCAAGTCAGTGTTATGAAGATTCAGTCAAAACCGACAGTCTTCTAAGTTTTCAAATATTTGCCCCAAAGCATATGTAGCTACAGGAAAAGCTGTAAACGTAGTCCCTGTCGATTCTAAATTGAACAAAAATGTCCGACTAACAAATGTGAAATTTGATCCTTAAACCGCAAGGAATGTATTTTACAAGGTTTCTAAAGAATGTACATTAAGCCTTTTTCAACAGAACTTTTAGGAAATGAAAAAAAGAAAACAAGAAATGACCTGTAATTTCCGCTTTCTTCGCGGCTGCTTTGCCTGTCCCGGCACTTCCTTAAACCAAATGATAACGACAGGCATTTAATTACAATAGATCACATGCACAATTTGTTTATTTTTCCGTTTGGTAAGGATCACCTATTTTCACAATGCGACCGTTATCAAGAATCTGCCTCCCTGGTTCAACCGCTCATTTTCAACCTCTTTTCACTACGCTTTCAGGCTCATTTATCAAGTCGCGTTTATACAACCGCCACCTCAAGAATAATACTATTATACCGATTAGCTCAAACTATAATGCTATTTGACAAATATGTTTGATTATAATATTTGTCACACTTTATTTTTACCGACTGAGGTATTTTGACCTTGGCCGCGCGAGCCGAATTGTCCATCAAAGTTCAGTACCGCATGGATGATTTCTACTTCGAGGGTGGTCACCCCTCGCGCCACATGGAGCTTAAGGCCTTCACACGGAGTTTCCACGCCCATCTGGCTCTCTGTTAACTGCTAGTGCTTTGCACCTCATCACAAACGCCTCGGCCTACTCTCTCTATTTTCTCTTTCTACTCTCTTCTTTCCTAAAATAAACTCACGATGTATTTGCCGCATGGCTATATATACGCAAGCTTGGGTAGCAGGCGCCCGAAAGATTTTGGAAACCAAATGAGAATCAACCTCGAAGCAAGAGGACGCATGCGCGCGTTCTTGTGTGTCCACCCTCCTCTTCCCTCCCCATGTGACCGGTGCACCTGCCACTCAAGTTACAGCAGGTGTGGTTCAGTTTTTAACCCTCAGCCCTTCGAGTGATCAGCATCAAATTTCTCCTTTTAATAGCAATGCTTTGTAAAACGGAGTGGTCGTGAGAAAACGGACATGATCACACAAGATTAATTTGCTTGATATTTCGTTATCAACTTCTCTCCACTAGTTCTGTAGGAAATGAATAGGGACAACAAATGATGAGAATTCAATTTTTGATCTTAGGGTTTAAAGGGTTAAACAGAGATACTAAACATTTTGCTTCAAGACGAGAACTGAACTACTGTCAACAACAACAACAACAATTGAATTTCTACCTTTCCAAAGTGAAATTTTATGAATAGATCTTGTTTTATAAAATTTGTTAGACAGTCAGGGCCATGGTAGCAGCAAGCATCGAGCTATAATGAAATGAATTTGGGGGGTGGGGGAGGGGTATATAACTATTAGTAGTATTTGTCAAGTAACCAAGAATGATTTTCATTTCCGGCAGTAATGTTTATTCCGATCACGCTTCAGTTTCTTTCTCCCCTCATTAGAGTCAATATCAACATCCTTGATGTCAGCTGTTCTCTCGTAACTGCTAACAATTTTGCAGTCATACGAAACAATCAACATCAGGACAATGTTTATTCTACACCAGCCGCTACGACAAGCGATCAATTATTGCTCGGCAAAATAGTAATAAAACCGTTAGTTTATAACTAAGAAATTTGCGCTTTGTAGGCAGCCAGATATCATAAGATGTCTACCTCGTATTTTGCTCAAAATAGCAGGAAATACAAGAATAAAGTAATGCGTGACATAACAATGTTGAAAGGTAAAGGCAGTCATGACTGCACGAAGTCTTATTATTTAATCGGGTATTCAATCAGGGCCGGCCAGGGTTTTGGGGTATACCGTATACAGGGGCTTTTTAAATCGGCTATACGGTATCACTTTCTTTGAGTTTCAGGTATAAAGTATACCTGAAAATATACCTGGGTATATTTGGATGAATTTTGGGTATTTTGGGGTATTTTGGCGAATTTTTTTCGGGTATACTGGTATACCACTACCCCCCCTGGCCGACCCTGTTCAATCCGTGTTCAATCGCCAAAGGTCATGAAAGGTCGTTGACATGAAATAGAAAACTGTCAAAAAAGCTTAGTTTAAAGCTAAGCTTATTGACGCTTCCAGATGGCAAGCGACGGAACATGCTTGGAAACGTATAAAAATATAAAAACCACACGCTGAAGAGTAACCTGAATTAACTTTAAAATTTACATGGATTTCTAGACTTTGCCAACACTAGCATCTTACTGAAGATTCGTCTCACATTAAGCTGAGATCAAGCTCTAATTTCCTTCCTTGGTGAATAGATCTCCGGCGGGCAGGGCAAATGGAAAAGTCTTGCATTTATGTACAGTGCGTAAAACAGTGCGTGTATATCTGAATTACGTGTGTTATGCGGTTCGATCAAATATTGTTGCATCACTTGCATGTGCATTCACGCTATTACAGTGACATCAGGTGAAACACTAGGGCATTCGTGGCCACATCCCATGCATATCAGTACGTAGAACAAAGGCATCCCAAGAATGTGGACAGATTGTGGGAAAACCTCGCTATACAGTTTATAAATTGCTGCTGACCACCCCACCTAGAATACGTCTGCGAGCTCGCTTTTGCTCGCCCGCATCCGCAATGATAAGAAGCCTTCTGTTGGAGGGTATGTGTAAGAGGTACCACTTTTTAATGGAGGGTATATAAAATGCCCACCTTCTCTGTCAAAAATGGTATATTAAAGGGTAAACTAAGGGGGTGGGTCTCTGGGTGGAGCCTCCTCCCAATTCACCTCAAGGATCAGGCCAGAGACGAAGGTTTTTTTTCCTCTCATCCCCTTGGTACAATTAAGTCTAGTGAAAATAGAAGATGGATATCAAATCTAGAAATAATAACGACAAGGAATTCGTACGAAAATATTACCTATTTATTAATTAATAAACAACAACAACAACTTTTTTTGAATTGCCATTTACATAGATTGAATTGCATAGAAGAAAAATAAAGGATGATAATAGAAAAATACGGCAATGAATTACAAAATATATAATAATTAATAATCAGTTACAACATCCTAACTCTTGTTTCGTTTTCTTGAAAGATTCGAAAACAAAATAACCGATTTTTTACAAATAAAATGATCTACGTTATTAAAAAGGAATAATATTTTATCTTGCTCATTCAGATTATAAAAGATGGGATATTTCGAGATTATATCATTAAAAAACGTTTTCCTTATACACAAATAAGAATCACAGTGAAGAAGAAAAATCTTAAAATTAAAAATCGGTTATTATTAAAACGGCGCAATGGTGGACAGCGTAACGAGGATTATATTCTTAAATTATTAGTTTTTCTTTTAATAAATTAATTTTAGCACCTGCCTTTTTAAAGTTGAATTTATGTAAATAAAATATATATTGATTATGGTAATCAGAAGCCCATTTGAGCTTCTGCGGTAACAAAGACCCCCGCGCAGACTCCTCGATAAAATAAAATGCCCATCAATAAAAGCTGTTTGCATTTCTGATAGATGTATCGATTGAAAACAATTTTTGACAGTTATTTTGAAAGTTATGGAAGTTCTGAAAGTTAAGAAAAAGGAAATCAAACAATCGCAAAACATCAGCACTGAAAGAGAGGTCAGAGGGGATTCCGCGTTGGTCATCCATCCAAAACTAACCGCGTCCGACAGGGCTTAAAACTTTGTGGAACGGACACGTCTCAACATACAGCAGTAGCTTTTATTGAGCTACTGATCACCAACAACTCGAAATGCTATTATACAACGTGATTATACCGTTACTGAAACTAACAGTAACATAGTTCAGAACTCATGGAAAAACGTACTAAATTACATTTATACTGAACCGTTTCGTATCGTTTTAAGATGTAATCAAGTAAGTAGGACCGAGGCGACTACATTCAAACGACACAAAACGATCTGGTTAACAAGTACGGCTTATCACACAGTCGCTTTGCTCGGGGCACGTTTCTCGGAATTTCGCTTATTTGAAAGCCTTATCTCAAAGTACACGTTCCCCATCGTCACCGGGCGAAACAGTACACATCATATAAGAAAGGAGTTTGCTGTGAGGGCCTTGGGAAGACAAACCCCAGCGTCGCCTATACTGCTGGCAC